ACAAGAGAACAGGTTTGTCTGAGGCAGGGCAGGGCAGCCTGTACTTCTGCCAGAGACGAGTCAAACAGCCAAGAGGAGGAGGAGGAGTGTGTGGTGGCTAGTAAGTGGGGGATCAAACCAGTGAGGCATGGTAGGGAATGTGCAGCAGCTGTAGGAGGAGGAGGAGTGTGTGGTGGCTAGTGAGTGGGGGATCCAACCAGTGAGGCATGGGAAGGGAATGTGCAGCAGCTGTGGGTGCTGTGTGTACAAACCAGCATGAACCGTTGAAGCAGGGGTTCTTGCCCATCTCTAGAAGGTATCTATTGTATTGCAGCAGTATAAATATCTTATGAACAAAATGTTTTTGCTGCTTAATATTTTTTCCTGCTTTGTCTCTTTATTGTGTGTGTGTGGTTTTTTGTTTTTTTTTTAAAGCTGACTCTAAGGAAAATTTAAAATGTGGAACAGAATAGTTGTTGGTGGTCACTTTGTTTCTGTGGCAACATGTAAGGTGGAGAATTGGCCCATGAACAGCTTCTGTTGCTTAAACTGGGGCAGAGTGGGAGGATGCTGGGGGAAAAAAGATTGATATTAGAACTACAAAACATGCTTCCTCCCCCCCCAATACATTTCTGCCATCCTGCATTTTTTTCCTTCCTTAGGAGACTAAATAATTGAGGCATTTCTCAAAAAGGGGGGGGGAGTTGGCATAAGGTGCTGTCGTTCATGGCATGGGGGTTCACAATTGCCTGAACCAATTTTTGCTGTTCAAAAGCATAGACATCAGCACAAGTTTAAATTGGTTTTACTCCCTTAGATGTACAATTGACTTTCATTTGAAAAAAAAAATTCTAGTGCAGTTCATGCACCAGCAACTTTTCGTAGTGATATCAACAATGTTTTCAGAGCTACTGACTTTTTTGGACACTTAACTGCAACATAGGATTTGCAGAAGAAAAGCAAAAATGTGTGTGCATTTATATCTGATATTAGCATTCTTGGTCTAGGGGATTACAAATGTAAGAGAAAAATTGTAATCTTAAATTCATGAAAAGGCAAGGTGAACATAAATACCAACAGATTGTTTGATAAAATCACTTAGCACTAATCTAGCCTTTAATCTTGATCTCTTGCTTCAATACAGGGGATAAAAGTATTCGAGAGGGCAATTAAAGATGCTATAATTGTTACATAGTAAATTACTGAAGCTTTTTGATCTAAGGCATGTTTTTGATTTTGTGATGTTCTGTGTTATACACTATCATTAAGACAGCAATCATAACTTGAGTGCCTCATGATTTCAAGTTGTCCAGAATATGGAAACTGTGTGTGTATTGGGGGGGGGGCAAAAATAGTTTTTTCAGTTCACTTCTTTTCTGTTCTGTTCTATACTTGGGGTTATTCTGGTTCTTTTGAACTGTGCTAAGTGCCTTTACAGGCCCTGTCTTCTGCTGTGCAAATTTATCCTGTTGATCCATATGTGTTGCTTTGTATGTGAGAGTGTGACTAGACAGGGATTTGTCCTGCTGTCTGCTCTGCTCTGGGGATGGGTTGGTTTGCTTCATTTCCTGGTGACCACATAATGTAAGTGCCATCAGGAACCACCTCATTCCTGATCTGTGCTTACCCACACCTTTTTGGCTCCCTGTCAGGAGCCACTGTTCTTTTTTTTTTGGTACAGGTAGGATTGCTTTGTTTTGGTTCAGTTCCATCATGTGTGATTACTGGGATTGAACCAAAGCTGTCTGCATAAGTCACCTAATGATACTGGGCGATTAAATTCTTCCTCCACTCCTCCATGGAGGGGAAGAGAAAAAAACAAACTTTTTTTTAAAAAAAAGGCTTGTAGGGCAGTACTGACCCACTATGCCCTTTAGATTTTTTTTCTTTTAAATTGAAAGCATCCTCCCAGAAGGAGGAAGGGACAGGAGAGGACAAGGAGGGGAGATCTTTTTGTTTTGTTTTGCTGTTTTTTCTTTCTTTCTTTTTTCTTTCCCTGTAAAAGTAAATTTTTTCTTTCTTTCTTTCTTTTTCTTTCCCTGTAAAGGTAAGCAAGACAAATAATGTTGTTTGAGGTGCAGTGTGGTTTCCTGATCTGAAATCACACAAAATCCTTGCATGCAGATGCAAGGGTCAAGCCAAATGGCACACCACACCTCTGTGCATCCTTAAGTGACCTATTTAGCCCAGTAGCAGCATGTGTGCGTCTGTGAGTGTGCGTGTATGCACACAGACTTGATTCAGGGGGTGTTGTAATATAACATTTCCTGCTGAAGACTTGTCTTTTGGCCATTGACTCCTTGCTAATTACCAAATGCTTTCTGCATTACATTAGAGAACATATTTATGCCAAATACTTAATGAGTAATTAATAGTTAAGTCTTCTATGCAGGGTTTGCTAACTCATTATGAATGGATCTGAAACCAGATTTAGATCCTTTATTTAATCAGAGGCTTGGCATGCTTTGTATTCTGAATTGTAGATACTGCACTGAAATAGGGAGCTGGATTAGGTAACCTTCCAATTCTATAGTTTCTGTGAAGTGCAATCTGTATGTGGAATCAGTTTTATTCTTTGCACTGAGTTTGGGTACACAAAATTGAAAACCCAGGATAACCACTCTTGGAAGAAATATTAATGTGTCAACCTTTTGTGGATGGGTTGTTTGGAGCCATGATGGAATTTCCAGCATGAATTTCTTAGTCATCTTCATTCTCATTTTTTCCATTTTCCTGGAATGGAAAGTTACTATTTTGTCTCTCTTTTTTCCCCTGAATAAATTCTTCCTCTTTTGGTTGATCATTTCCTCTTTTCAGAGTCTTCCCTTCTTTGGATTGCTGCTCCTTTCCTCCTTATCATTGAGAATACTCTCCATCAGATTTACATCTCTCCATGTTACAGTGATGTAAATGATAATAGCGCTATTCTCTGTCTATGCACTGCTGCCTCAAGGAAAACTCCAAGACTGCACTGGAAAAGAAGTATATGGCTCTGGAAAATGCTCATAAAGTAACTCCTTGAACCACCTTTAAGGAGAGAGAAAATCCCACTATGGGACAAATTGTGTTCTTTCAGTTGAAGAGCACTAGATTTCTGCTTTCATTCATCCAATTATGGATCAACACAATCATTTACTGAGCAAAAAAAGGCAAGTCTTCGCAGTCCTTTAACTTATTGTGACCGAATTAGACTTCCATAAGAAGCAGTATGAGAACATAAGATCTCACAAGATGATCTGGCCTTCATATCACAGCATTCCCAGTGTGTCTTATTCAGCCTTTTTCCTTTCGTGCTGCTGCTTCTTTCTGGGCCTTTCCTTATCTCAGAATGCTCCTAAATTCAATCATATTTGACAAAGTTTAGCAAAACAGCAATAACAGAAATTCTGTTCAAGAACACAGGTGGCAACTGTTTGCTCTCCATTAAGGGGATGGAGATTCTGTCCTGGTGACAGAAGACACATTAGTGGAGTTAGCACATTGTATAATCAACATATTAGTTATTCTGGCATCATTACAGCTGTTGGAGTATCAAATAATGGAGAACACCATGACAACGCTACTCAAGGTCAGCAAGTTCTCGAAGATTTCCCTTTATGGTGGTCATCCAAGGAGCATGAAGAACGGCACAAAACAACATCCAGGAAGGGTAATGCATTGCAACAGTTTTGGTGATTGCTCCTTCCCTTTTTCATCAACACCATAGGCTATCTGCTTTTTGCAGAAACTGCTGTTAGTTTTCTTCATGTGTTCTTCTTGCCATAGCAGGACCATGTCTTTCAGCCATACCAACTGTTGTGTTTGAGTAGTGGGGCTATGAGTTGAGGAAGCAATGTGACTGCCAAAGGTATACAGAGCATTTTACAAATAGGCCGTTTGCATATTACATCCAAGTGTTGTTTAAAGTGCTTGTACTGGTGTGCAAAAAAGCTGATCAGTCTATCCCCTACCCTTACAATGGGTGGTCACATGATAACCACCTTAGTTCAAAATACCAGTGCATCTGCACAACTGTTACTATGGTAGCCTATTACAAATCCATTACTATTATCTGGCGTAAGGCCACTACAGTAAAGACTTCTGATCAACAGGGCCTCAAATGCCTACACTTCCCACAGTTCCCTTTGGAAAAAAACATTAAGGAGTTGTGTTTCAATGTGCAGCTGTGGGAAGACTATGTTCTTGCTTTCCACAGTCTTGTAGTTGATCCAAATGCCTTTTTAAAAATAGTGGTGTGGTTCATCTTTTTTTTTTTTAATGACGCCGTATAAATGTTACTTGTGAAAGGAAAAGAAACTGCATGACTAAAGTAGAATGACTTTATAAGTTGGTTTCATCAGTATATCTTATATTTTTCCTATCAAGCTGAGAAAAAAGGTGTTTCTATAGCTCTACACTTTGATTTCCTCTATTTGCTTTATCATTATTTTAGTCATTATTTTTAGTCATGACTGTCTAGTTCTGTTTCTCCTTTTTTAAAGGACCTAATTAAACCTTCACGCCTGCACATTTCAGAGAACTATAACAAAAGTGTGCTGACATGAAATCATTATCTTATCAAACATTTTTCATTGTTGAATGGTGTTGTTTTGACATTTTTTTTCATTGCCTCCTTACCCCGGAATAAAGATGCAATACAAGAATTGTGGTATAAACACAGGCCACACTTTATTGAATAATCATTGTTGGCATCCTTAGGCAAAGGGGGGTCCTGCCGTAGTGTGGAATCAGGTTTAAGCACAGAGATCTCAACGGACCCCTTAACAAACAAATCCCTGCCCCTACGTTTTCATGGTTGTGAAGACAGCAAGAAACCAGCTGGCTCAAATTTAACCACCTCCGAACTTCAAGCCACCTTCTCCTTGTTGGCTGTTGGTCTGGGTGTGGCCCCGGCACACCTTTCTCCCCAAGCACTGTAATTGCACGATCCTCAATGCTGGGAGGTCAGATGAGCTATACATTACCTGAGATTGCTTTGGGATGCATCAAAACCTGTTCTATCCACACTATCTGCCTGTGTGACCAAAAGCTTTCACCTTTCAACAAGCCAACACACCTCTTCCAGTGTGGGATAGGCGAAAAATCCCCGTGTACAAAAAACCAATCAGGATACGGGTCAAAAATTCCTATGTGGCCCCAAAGGCGACCAGATAAACTCACACTAGAATATAGGGGTAAATAGTGACTTGTTCCCTGTCTCTTCCCAGGTCGCTCACGCGAGACTCAGAGATCTCGCACTATCCAGGGAAGAAGGCAATGGTTAATTGCGCTGCCAGAGCGTGGTTTGCCAGTGGATTGGGCCCTTGATTCATTTACTCAATTTGTTAGCCTGGTATTTTCAGATAACCTCCCTTTCACGCTGTATGTGCTGAACATCTACTGTAACATTAGTGTGCTGTTTCTTAAATTATCCTTTCCTTAACCTCTTCAAAACAAACCCAGTTGTAAAAGAAGAAATAGCAGAATAGAATTTTCTCAGGCTCAGAAATACTGTTTATGCGAAACTTTTCTTCTCAATACAGTACAGAAATAAGCTTACATTTTCAAGTCATGCAACTAAATGTCTTCCAACAGCTGTGATATTGCAGGCGGAGGCTGCAGATTATGAAGCTTTCAGAAAATACCCGAGTCCCCATGACTCAAGAGAGAAGTTATTGTAATTCTCATTCTACAGTGCCCAACAGAAGGACAATATTTTCTGCTTACTTATTTCTGCTTAAGATTTCTAGACCATGTGAAGCATGGCATTCTTCTTAAAATAAATCAAAACAGCAATCAACAGTAAAAAAACAGCAAGTGGCAAATTAGCAGTAAGAAATTACAGGAGAGGGGAAGAGACACAAAATGCCTTCAGGATCCAAATACACTTAGTCAGTCTTTCAATAATATTCTTGGAAGAGACTAACTGGAAAGTATAGTTTTAAAAATAGGGGGCTTGACATGACATTTGGTATTGTTTACCTTTCTCTTCTATAAAACGAACCCTAAAGACAATTAAATCTTATTTGTTTGTTTGTTTCTTTGTTTGTTTGTTTATTTAATATGCCACCTCTCTCTCCCTAGGGGACACATGGTAGTTCACAACAATTAAAACTATAGAATGATTACAGTTTTTAAAATACTGTAAAAGCTGTTTTAACAAACTATTAAACATTTGTTAATGTTAAAACCAAGATTAAATAAAAATATTTTAAATATAATTGAAAAAAAGCTCTAAAAACAGTAAATATAGCATTCCTTTAAAAGGGCTTGTCAAACACATATGCAAGAAAAGGAATTATCTTTCTTATTCTGTTTTCTGTAGAGACTAGTAGTAAATAGTGTTTATAAGTTATGAAAGAAGTGAAAATGTAGTGAAAGACAGACAGGGAATTTTATCAAAGCATATGTGAACTTATAAAACAGCAGAGCAAAAGAAGCACCTTTGTGCGTCTGTTTCTGTTGTTTAGTTGTTCAGTCGTGTCTGACTCTTTGTGACCCCATGGACCAGAGAACGCCAGGCCCTCCTGTCTTCTACTGCCTCCGGAGTTTGGTCAAATTCATGTTGGTAGCTTCAATGACACTGTCCAACCATCTCGTCCTCTGTCGTTCCCTTCTCCTCTTGCCTTCACCCTTTACCAACAACAGGGTCTTTTCCAGGGAGTCTTCTCTTCTCATGAGATGGCCAAAGTATTGGAGCCTCAGCTTCAGGGGCTGTCCTTCCAGTGAACACTCAGGGGTGATTTCCTTCAAAATGGATATTTGTTCTCTTGGCAGTCCAGGGGACTCTCAAGAGTCTTCTCCAGCACTACTTCTCTTAGAGGAGTGCTTCTGTTAGAGAAGGCAAAAAAGGTGCTGTAATAATTGAGGGGGGAAGAGTTGGTTTGCTGCATATCAGAAGGCATCACCTTTTGTGTACAATTATACCTATACCTCTGCTCTGCATGACTGAAGCTCACTTACTCAGACATCTCTGTAATGTCTCTTCTATTCATTTGGACTAATCATTCATTTTATATTGCTGCAGGTATATGTATAATATTTCCTCCTCTTATAATGGCTTCTCAAAATGGCTTAGGCATGTCTTCTATTCATCTGCATTAATGTTCCATTCTTTGTTGCTCTTACTCTTAAAATGGCTCCCCAAAGAATTCTATTGGCACGATGTTTTGTGAATAATCTCATTCTTTTCTACTCATTTGTTATTCTTATTGTTGGCTCAACGAGTTGCAGTCTTCTGATAGGACATTCTTAGTACATATTTTAACCTGGCAGCCACAGTATGATGTAGGAATACAACATGATCAACTGGGATACACAGCATTTCTTTCACTCTGCAAGTCAGCCACTTTTCAAATATTATTAGAAAAAGCTCTATCTTCTTTTCCATCAGGAGCTGAAATATGTTGTGATGCACACCAGGAAGGTTTCCTGATAACCCGAATGCCTCATAAATTCTCCCTTTTGCCCATTACCAGTGCTAGTCATAGTACCTTGTGTGTCACTGACATGCGGCAACCACAGAGGGCAACTCTAGCGAAAACAAGTACATGGCAGGAAGATTACTGTGCTTCTGTGTAACAACTCTAGCTCAACTACATTCTTGCTTCTCCTAGACTAGACCACAGCCACAGGGCACAGTCCAGATTTTCTTGTTCACCAATGTCATTGAATCTTCTTCCCACAAGTTAAGTTCTATGCTCATTTTTAAAATCTTTAACAACTGTGAAATAGTGCAAAGGACAAGTCAAAAACAGTGGCAATATTCGTTTGGATGATGGAGAAATAGATAAAGTTATCAAAAGCTTACCAATGATTTACATCAATAAATCACTAGATGAGAGTACTGAAGAAAATGATGATGATGGTGGTGGTGATGATGGTGATGATGATAATGAAGAAGGGTCTGGCCAGATTAATCGTGAAACAGTTCTTGAATGGAACAACAGTGGTGATCAGGAACCTCCGCCATCAAATACCAGTAAGAACTCATTCCAATATTTGTTTGCAGTGTGTTACAGTGACCATCAGTAGATATATCTCAGTAAAAGATGGGATTTAGACATATGCATGTATGTTAAAAACTTTAGCAATAAATATTGACAGTTTGCAAAAAGTGGTTGATGATTCAGAAATAAGATACATAATTCAAAAATAGTAAGTTGTTACTATTGTTATGACGCTATTCTGGATACACTGCCGGTACAATACATGATACTGCACAACCAAATAGCAGAGAGGTTTAACTGAATACACTTGAATTGTTCTGCTGTGTCAGTTTTCTTCCACCATGTTCTAACCTGGGGGTAGGTGTTTGCTTTTGCATTGTAGACAATTCCATCAGTTTATCCTGGAAATGGAAAGTTGAATGTACTGATAAGAGGGAGTCCTGCTTTGTGCTTTACACAATATGCATGGGGGGCACAGCTTGGACCTGGCTTATCCACCATGCACTGGGGCATGTTAGGCATTTGCACTGAGGTTATGCATAACAATCCTTTGCTTTACTTTGCCTTTACCATATTTCAGTTTCTTTCACGTGGAGCACCAGTGGAGGATATGATCCTTATCTTTGTAAACATGCTGGCTGGTTGATTGGTTTTACATTCCACTTTTCTCCCATGTAGGAAAGAAGGCATTTTGCAACCTAAATTGAAAAAAGAGAGAGATCCTGCTTAAACCCACAGTAAATTAGAGTATTAGAACAATATTAAGTAGATTATCAGATTAAAACTCGCTCAGTTAACACAACTGAATACCACTTGAAAACAGTAACAACAAAACCACATCTTCTACCAAAAGGTCTTAAATCTTAGCCAAAGCCTGTTGAAGTAAAACATCTTTGCTCACAAAGAGGAGGAAAGGTCCCCCTAGCTCTCTCAGAAGTGAGTTCCATAGTCTGAGTGGAGACACCAAGAAGGGCTTCTCTTGTATCCACATTAAACATGTCATGAAGCACTGGAACAGAAAGCAAGACCTCTCCTGAAGTTCCCAAGACCCGGGCAGGCTCATACAGGGAAACACAATTCTTCAGAAAGTCTTGTCTCAAGTTGTAAAAAGCATGATAGGCTATCCCTGGTACTTAGTATTATATTCAGCAATAGACCAGTAGCCAATGAAGGTGTTGTAGTGGCCAATTGTCACTGGCCCTGGACAACAGCCTGGGCATAGCATTTTGGATTCCTAAAGAATCCAAACACTTTCCAAAGGCATCCACACAACGAATGCATTAGAGTAATCTAAATAGGGTGCAACTCAGGCCAGAAACAAACACTAGAGATAGCCTCCGACTGGAAGAGAGAAGTTCTTAATTAGTATGAGCATCTGAGGTGATCTTCTTTCACCTCTGGTATTATGTAAATTAAGCACAGAATTCCTTTAAAGTCTGATTTTTACAAATATCAAAAGACTGCATCAGTTACTCTTCTGCAGCATTAACATGCTCTCAGTCTCTAATTGTGGACTGTTTATAATGTCTGTATCTGATGTTTTTCATCACATTGGACTTCTTCAGGAATGGTCATAAGTGGCACACTCTCTTTAACTATGCAAATATGCTCCTGCCCACTGCTGAAACTTGGGTACCCTGGCTCAAAACTGAGCCAATGTGTGAAAATCAGTTTTCATGGGGACAGCAATCTCATTCAATACAGGTTGAATTCTATTTCCTAATCTACTTTCCAACCAGAACCTTCTCTACCTTGTCTGGATTCATCTTCAATTTGGTCACCCTCATCCAGTCCATTTCTGACCCAAGACATTGGTTTCGAAATGAAACAGCTTCCTCAGATTTAGATGGCAAGAAGAGATAGAGTTGAGTGTCCTCTGCAAACTGGTGCTATTGAACTCTGAAACTTTGAATGACTTCCCTCAGTAGTTTCACGTATAGATTAAGTAGGTTGGAGGACAGAGTAGAACCATGGATAACTCCACAGGCCAACAGACAGTCATGAAAAGAGTTGTCTCTGTCTTCTCTACTTATCCTTCCAGCCGTTGTAAAGCAGTGCCCCTCCCAAGTGCCATCCTAGGGAGATGGCCCAGAAGGACACCAAGATCAATGATACTAAAGGCCACTGAAAGGTCTACCAGACCCAATAAGGACACACACACACCCTGTCCAGCTCTCAACATAGGATGTGATCAAAGACATCTTCATCCCATAAGCTAGGCTGAAACTATCAGGATCTGACTTTTCACTAAATAATTTCATTTGTGTACTCTTTGTAGATGAAGACAGGCTTATATTCTGCAATGGCCTCATCTCAACAGGATGGTGATTGATTTGCAGTGCTGGTGCTGATTAGGTGGCGCTGGTGATTGATTAGGTGGTGCTGGTGCTGGTGGTGCTAGTGCTGGTGATGCTGGTCATGATGGTTCTTGCATAACCTGATTCTTTTGCCTTCTCTTAATGGTGAAAATGCAGTTTGGTAGAATAAACCTAAGTGCTTGTATTCATTTGTTACCAGTTTTGCTATTTTGGTTTTGCTGTAGCTGATAGTGGCTTGCATGGGAAATTGTGTTGTGATTACACCGTGTGAATAATATTCAGAAATTCAGCCATACTCTCCCATAGAAAGTAAAATCAATCCAAATGATACATTCTAAAGATGATTGTATCTTTTTTCTTCTGCAGTGTTTTCTATAATACCTTCATTACAGTGATTGTATATATACATTTCTATGCTCTAATTTTAGGGTTGCTAACTTTCTAATTTATCTCTTTCTTGTGCTTTTATTAGTAGCCCAAAACAGAATTTTACCAGGCAAAGATTTTCCCATCATGTATCATCATCCCAAGAAAGGCCAGAATCTTGTTTGCATGTGGGTGGAGAGTTATGCTTTGTTTAAGGGTCACACCAGGGAAAGACCCTCATAATGCATGGTCTGTTTCTGTCCAAACCCTCATTCAATGGGAACATTCTGTGAGTGGAATAATGCAACAGGATACTGGCCTAAGTGTTTATATATTGTGCATAAAACCGATGTCCAAAGCACAGAAGTAAAACCATCCAATGTTTTTGGCAAACTTGGATCATGGGTGGAAAAGTTCATATTCATGAGGTGTGGGCATGCAGTGCAAAGGTGTTGCTTGGATTCTGTGGTGTTCTCTAAAACTCATGAGTACCATTTGACTAAGCAATGCTATTAATGTGGTGATGCCATTCTGCTCTTATCTGACTAGATCTAACAGCAGTAACAAAATTCTGCTCAGCCACACTTTTTTTTCATGTGATTTATTGTGTGCATATGGAGCTATCTCTGTCACAAAAGAACTTTCTATACACAGCACATCCATGGCCATCTTAGCACATTTTGCATGAAGGTGCAAAAACAGAAATCTGGTGACAATACTATTGCTGTGGGTTAAATTCAGCTGATAAGAATGGTGTATTTTTAGCATATTTCATAGTTGATGCAGAAGACATATTTAAAAGTACGCAAAGCATCTGCTGTCTGCTGCCATCAATTGTTCTGAAGCCAGAGTGAATGCTTACAGGCCCTGAAGAAGGAGATACAGCTGGTTCACAGATGCTTGATTGCTTGATAGTTAATAGCTCTCAGTCTGATATGTTAACTGTTTAGAGTGGAAAATAATGCATTCGAATTAACAATGAGTTGTGTTGGAGATCCACTGATGGTCATGATTATCTGAAGGCTGTCTCACGTATGTAAGTCCTTCCTCTATGTGAAAGGCTGAAGGACATGACATGTTGCTTGCACAATCAAATACCTGTACAGTGGTGCCTCGCTAGACGATTGCCTCGTGGGATGAAAAACCCGCAAGACGATTGGTTTTTGCGATCACAATGGTGCCTCAAAAGATTTTTTTTCTATGACCGTGCTTCGCAAGACTTTTTTTTTTAGACCGATGCATAGGGAACCTCGCAAGATGATTTTTTCACAAGACGATGATTTTTGTGGAACAAATTAAAATCATCTTGCGAGGCACCACTGTACAATATGAAGGACTTTTCTCCAGTTAGTGTTATATACAAGTTGTGAACTAAGACCCATGATAATTAGGATCATGAAATAAATGAAGACAAATGATAACCAAATATGCAAATCAATGTCAATTCAACCATTGTCACAGCAGCCGTGGTCCTCAGCAAGGATATCAAAAATGAAGACTCAGCCCATGACTCTTTTCTGCATGGTGTACACTCTGAAAAGGACAGTGAAGTCAGATACTCAACAAATGGCACAAAGGAGGATGTGCCTCCTGGAATTGGTCCTCTTAGTGATGATGAACATTACCCAACAACTACTGGTATGAGTAATTAAGCACTATCTGTCTTATATTAATATACAGTGATAATTATTTTTGCAATATCAAGCCTAGCATTGACTTAAAATTTGGAAATACTATCCAGTTTGTATTGATACAACATATGCAGATAATATACTGTGATCATTTTTAATAGAAAAAGGAAAACAGGGCCACATATTTAAAGGCATTTCTTTTGGCTTCATTTACTAAAACCATGAAACCAAAAACTCAAGTATAACTTAGCTTTGGATGAGCAACAGTGAGCCACAAAGTATTTCAGGCTCATGAAGTTCCCTAAAATCTGCAGAAATTCTGCATGGATGTGTCACCCATATCCAACCCTCTCTTAAAGGAGTAGGTTTAAAACTGCTTCTTAGCAGTTTTACAAAGCTAGTTTCCTTGCTCAAAATAGTACTGCAATGGTCTGCTTAGTCCATGAAAGTTTCACTTGAAAACTGACAGATATCCACCCAGATCAAATCAAGTTGCCATTCCAGTATCTGATATGGTGATCTTCCTGATATAATTGTTTCCTTCAGCAGAACTGGGAGTTGGACCATCCGTCCCCCATGCACCTTCTTGCATCTCCGAAACCTGCTCCAGCAGTGGGGAGGATTCTCCAAAGCCAGTTTCTGTGTGGCACATAAGGCTGCAGGGGGAAATGAGGTAGAGAAAGTTAAGTTGTGCTAATGGTTGGGTGCACTGGATTGAGGCCTGTACAGTATTTCTTAAAATATCAAAGCTAAATTAAAAGGCCCTCCTCCTTCCCTCCTTCCCTCACCCCAGCAGCTGAGATCCTAAGCAAACGGGCTCATGCCATCTCCCTGCAGTTCTCTTCAGCTGCAGAGTCTTTCCACAATGTTGGCAAAAGCAGCATACTGCCTGATGTGAGAGTGAAGGAACTGCTACTTCTGGTACCACTGCCACTACCAGCAGTTGCCTTTTAGCCTTTCCTGGTATCTAGCCTTCCTCCTCCTCCTCACATCAGACCATTGTCCCACCTGCCGCCCTCTATCCACTTTGTGGTTTTTGTTTGTTTGTTTGTTTGTTTCTCTTTTTCACTTAACATTCTGGCCATTAAAACTGGTCAAGCTCATACTCTTGTAAAGAACTGGGTCAAATCAGGAGAAGCAGGGTGGTGGAATGTCTTCCCTCTCTGGAAGAACTCTAAATTGCACTTCGTACAGATGTGTACATTCTTCTCTTTACTATGGAAATAGATTGCTGTCTTCTCTTGTGGAAGGGGACTTACTTTTCTTACTGAATGGCGATTTCACTGGTTGTGGTCTCACTGGTTGCGGTGTTTTGTCTTCTGGTGTTGGTGACAGTACTTCTCTACATCTAAAGCACATTCTTTTAGACGCAACTCAGACAATCATCATCGTTTTTGATATGTTATGTTTTCTGGTGAATGGTGATAAAAGATTTGGCTTCGCATGGAATATCTGTAGTGGGCTGATGGTGGTACTCTGCAATCTTCCTGACTTAATTTCCTTGGATTTAAACAGCAGCACCTTTAGCACTGAATAAAGCTGCATCTCTCAAACTGGTTGAACAGCCTTTGTGTCACAGAATGCCAACCCAAATAAACTTTCGAGAGGAAAGTGCAAATCTGTATTATCTAACTGAAGTGTGTGGCCTCATGTCTGGAACCAAGTCAAAAAAATATTCCAAGAAGCACAATTTAAAAAAAAAGAAGCCGAGAAAGAAGACAAAAAGAGATCATGTTGATGGACTGGAGATACTACTGAGAATCCAGATGGTACCAAGTCTTGGCATCTATCAAAGACATTTGATAGATCAGTTAAGGGTGCAAGCTGTTGTCCCTTCTTTTCCGCCTCTCTTGCTGCTACATTTCCTTCTGTTATTGCTACTGGTCTCTGGGGTACTGTCATCAGCCAGCTTCTGCAAACTGAGCTGATGACAATAGGTGGCTGTGAATGCAGCAATACTGTCCAAATTTTTATCTACTTTCCTTCTGCTCCTCCTGGTAATGTACACAACCGAGACCGCAAGGCATGTGTGTTTTAAAAAGACAAAGAGAACAGTCTGGATGGTTTCTTCAGCAAATATAATACTGGAACTGATTCCAAACATCATCATAACAGCTGCTTCCTCCAGTGATGATTTCTTCAACCAGGAAAACCAAAATCAGCATCCACAGGATGGTGGTCACTCTGGATTGGAGACTGGAGACACAGTACCTACAGCAACCACCACATCAGATACATTGCCCACAGGACTTGTTCCCTCAAGTGAAAAAGAAAGTATGCTGGGAAAAGGAGATTTTCATCATACAGGTATCAATATGCATAATGAATTATCACATTATGACAAGAACTATATTTTATTTGCATTATCTGCTTTCATTTCCAGATCCAGGTTTCTAGACAAAAGGGCACATCGCTACTTAGTCCTTCTAGATAGTGGGAAAGAGTGAGTTACTTTCTGCTGTTCTCCTGTTTTTCAAGGGGGTAACAATTCTAATAATGTCTGAGAGACATACTAGTACAACCTTTTCATCTCCTGATTCATTTACAGTGGGGTCTCTACTTAAGAACTTAATCCGTATTGGAAGGTGGTTCTCAAGTTGAAAAGTTCTTATGTTGAATCTGCATTTCCCATAGGAATGCATTGAAAACCATTTAATCCGTATCTGCTCTTTTCTGTCCATAGAAACTACAGTGGAACCTCTACTTAAGAACTTAATCCATTTTGGAATGGTGTTCTTAAGTTGAAACGTTCTTAAGTTGAAGCAAAATTTCCCATAGGAATGGACTGAAAACCAATTAATCCGTTCCAGCTGTTTTTTTGTTATGTAGAGGTGCGTTCGTACATTGAAGCATTAGTTCCCATAGGAACTAATGCAAAGCTGGTTAATACGTACTCTACCACTAGGGGGAGAATTTTTTTAACCTAAGATGACCTAAGGTTAAAAAAAGAGCAGGAAAGGTTTTTTTTCCTGTTCTTATCTTGGATTTCTGTTCTCAAGTAGAAGCAAAATTTAGCAAATGGAGCTGTTCTTAAGTTGGATTGTTCGTAAGTAGGGACGTTCTTAAGTAGAGACCCCACTGTATATGGTAACCTTTTATAAGAAGAATAAAAAAGACAGCAAAAGTGGTAGATTAAAATGGGAGGTATCCACTGTTAAAGGGCAGCAAATAGCAAGGGGTGAAAAAACTCCTGCTAACAACATGGAAGGTTACTTCCATTGAAACTGGGCAGTACTGAACTAGAAGGACCAGCAGGATGGATGACTATATGGAGGCTTCGTACATGGGTATGCAGGGAAATGAATTCTGCCCTCATTCCTCTTTGGTCATTCTGAAGCATTTTGTTGTTTTATAACTGTTCTGGAAAAACAGCAGTATGGATTCGGTAACTGCCAGGTTTTTCCTGCAGCACACAAATGAGTACAACTTGAGATCTTGG